CTCCTGTTTAAACAAACCGCTGACTAAGGATTCTTAATTAATTACAGGGTCATTCACTAGTGAGAATTAAAAATGAACGTAAAGAGAATTTCACATTCAAGATCAAAATAAACCCATTGGAAATATTTTCTAGTCCATTTATGCTTTCAGTTTGGCTAATCTGGACCTAAATTTGAAATTGACTTTGAATTCACTTTGATATCTCACTTTTAGTAAATAAACCTGACAGCTTCATATGTGTTCTTTTCTAAATGAAGCTGCAATGTTAGTACAACTTTGCTAAATTTCAACATGCATAAGGCATCAAAAGCATTATTTATATATGTAGGAAATAATTACTCCATCTACTCCCCATCATTTTAATTTGTTGTATTTACCGTCAATCCTGGTCTGTCCACAGTCTTCTATTGCACAATTACTGAGTGTGTGCCTGTTTACATGTAATTTCACAATATTTTTTTATATATATATTTTTTTTTTATCAGTTGAATATAAATGTAGACAGTTCTCTATTTAGTGAGAAAATGCTGCGTATGCATTTAAGATTTTCTTTAGAACATTCTTAAGAACTTTGACTCAACGCCTCTAAACTTTGCTCTGGGCCCATCAGAGACTTGAAACAGATTTCTGGATTAACCGAAGCAGTAGAATTGATTTCTTTTCTTTTTTTTTAATTAAAACGAGACATTTTTAACACAATGGTAATAAATGTTAGAAATTAAAGCGTTTTTTCTTTTTGGATGCAGGTATACCTTCCATCAAAAATATTTGTGGCGATAATATGCCTTGCACGTGCACTATTTTTTTTTTTTTTAAATTTGACAATTTTTATTGGCATTTTTGTCGTACAACAATGACAACGTAATGGGGGGGGGAAGGACACAGAAGATAAAAAGGGGGGGGGGGCAGGGATGTACCAGAAAATATTATTGTGTACATCTCATAGTATAGTCACACAATACCATACGATACAGTACAAACCGATCAGATATACGTTACAGATTACAGATCAGATATACGTTGGTTCACCATTGGGTCTGAGGTCGACTCGGCCTTACTACCCTTCTTCGAACTCTCCATTGCCGAGTAAATTCCCGTTTTGGTGCCTTGCACGTGCACTATTTGATTAACATGCGTTTGGCCTTTGCATTTTTAAACTTAATTGACTTTGGGGGGATATATTACTGTAGGTAAGTGTGAACTTAAAGAAAGCTAAAGTGAACAACAATTACATAAATCAGTAAAGCGATTGTTGTGGCACATGGGCATTAAAAAGATGTAGAAAATCAAGAATTAATTCTGTAAAAATGACTTTCTCCAGAGAATCCTCTTTTTATTTCAGTCACTCCCTATTATGATCACTAAGAAAGATTTAACACTTTTACAAAAAGCTATAGATAACTTCATATGACAAAATAAGCAACATTGCATCTCCAGAAATTTGCCTCACTGTTCAAAGTTGAATTGAGGTCTAGGGTTGCCAAATTTATATTATAATAATATATTTTGCCCAATTATCCCCAGAGCAAAGAAGGTAAGTAGGCCTAGAGTCCTTGTGGATGGGGACAGATTTGGCGCAGCTTTTCATATGGGTTCCAAAAAAACACAGGGCATTATTTGTGGGATCCCACTGCAGAAAGATACTGGATTCAGAGATTCTAAAACCTGAGGAAAAATATTGGTGTTGATGAAATTTACATTTTGTGATTGAAACTGATTGCTTGGCTAATTTGCATTTTCCATATCAATGTGTGTGCACGCCATTAATGATCAAAAAACAATTCAAGATAAAAATGAAAAGTAACAATCTCCTACAAACAGTCCATGTGGAGCCACTACATTATGAAATAACATGACGCAGAATTTAGTAGTTCCACCTTTTTGATATTAGTAATTACCATTTTAGGCTGAATTTATTTTCAATGAGCTACATTCCAGAGAATAACTCTTAATAATCTAACAATAAACAGTAAAGATGACGTGCCAAGAGCTGAAAAACGAGGATGGGTTACAAGGGACAGCGTTAGGCAAGTATAACTCTTCAGCTGCACATTGCAAATACAGGTGTCAACTTTGGGTAGATTTGCCAAATATATAAAGATAAATCTAGACAAAATAGGAGCGCGCATATCTTAAAAATAAATAAAACTAATTATAAGTAAAAATGTGAGTAAATTCAGCAGCTATACACATATAAAGATCCTTAAAAACTTTACACACAAAATATAAACAAAATAAAGTGTCAGTGCTATACTTGAAAACCTAATTTAGGTGATCACTCTCAATCTGAGAGTGACAAAATATGTAAAGACCCCAGAATGTGACATGGCCACTTTGAAGGAACACTACAGGCACCCAGATCTCTTCATTCCTCTTTTTAACCCTGCAGCTGAAAACATTGCTGTTCAAAACACACGGCTCACACAGTATCGTCGTATTGTGCTCCTTGAAACGACCACACCATCTTTTTCCAGAGCAGCCTGTATTTCTCCTGAGGTTACTTATTGGTTTTTCTTTGTATCCCGAATAATTCTTCTTGCAGTTCTGGCTGAAATCTTTCTTAGTCTACCTGACCATGGCTTGGTATCAAGAAATTCCTGAATTTTCCACTTCTTAATAAGTGTTTGAACAGTACTGACTGGCATTTTCAAGGCTTTGGATATCTTTTTATATCCTTTTCCATCTTTATAAAGTTCCATTACATTATTACGCAGTACGCAGCCCATGGCTCAGTATCTAGCCTGCACAGTGCATCCATGTGAGAGCTAACAAATTCCTTGACTATTTATACACAGACAATAATTGCAATTTCAAAAAAGCCACAGGTGTGGGAAACTAACCTTTAATTGCCATTTTAACCTGTGTGTATCACCCTGTGGGTCTGTAACAAGGCCAAATATTCAGGGGTATGTAAACTTTTGATCAGGGCCATTTGTGTGATTTCAAAAGGAGCCAAACAACTATGTGATAATAAATGGCTTCATCTAATCACTATTCAATAAAAGACATTTTTTTGCATGATGAGTCACATTTTCAAAATCAATGCCACAATTTCACATATTCTGCCAGGGTATGCAAACTTTTTTTTTTATTATTATTTCTTTTATTGAGGCAAATAAGTATACGTTGCAGAAAAAAAAGAAATTGCGATATCATGTGCAAATACAGCACAATGTCATCACATATATAATCATATATCTCCCGGGTGTATTTGCCTCTATTATATTATTTGAAAGTAAAGAGAAGGTAACAACGATAAAAAAAAACATAAGAAAAACATGTAAGGGGTATCAACCTCGGTATGCCTTTGAACTGACTTATTTTACTTTCCCTGAATTCTGTTCCCTGGATGAAGAGGGGGAGGGGTGTTAGAGTTAATGGTACTAAGGCACCTAATACCCAATATACAGCCTGCAGCCTGTAATTCCAGTTGCATTTGGTGTCCAAGTAGCATTGGGTGGGCCGTCTAGGCTGTTTGGCCTGCCTGTGGGATGTAATTCAATTCCCCTTATCTTGAGGTTATTGTGCACCCGTGAGTCTTCTAGGTTATCCAATCGGACCTGAACTGCTTTATGTGCTGCTTGTAGTTGTTGGATCAGCACCTTGCTGTTTTCCTGATGGTGGGCCATGGTGGAGACTGTTTCTTAGGTTGCTCGCACCCTTGCTGTAACCACTGTAATGTCCTCTCTGATTATATCTAGGTAGGCATTAAAGAAGGCCCTGATGTTGTTCATAAGTGACTTTATGTCCCCTTTAGTGGCTGGGGTTGTTAAATCTTCCATTTGTGGAGTGGAATGTCGCCAGGGGCATCCATCACCTCCTCCTCCGAGGTATAGTGAGACTCCGGCGGCGCCGCCATTGTGGGTTTAGGCCACGGTTGTAGAAGGTCACTAATACTCATAGGCATGCGTAGCCTATTGCATTAAGGTGTGCACCCTAAAGCACAAACACACGCCGCATGTATATGTATGTGTATATATATATATACACACATATATACACACACATATATACACTGCTGTATGTGTGTGTGTGTGCTGTTAGTGTGCTGTGTGAGGGTGGTGTGAGGGTGCTGTGTGTGTGAGGGTGCTGTTAGTGTAACGTGTGTGTGAGGGTGCTGGTAGTGTGCTATGTGGGTGAGGGTGTTTGTGTGGGTGCTGTTTGTGTGTGAGGGTGCTGGTAGTGTGCTGTGTGTGAGGGTGTTTGTGTGTGTGTGTTTGTTAGGGTCCTGTTAGTGTGCTGTGTGAGGGTGCTGTGTGTGTGAGGGTGCTGTTTGTGTGATGTGTGTGTGATGGTGCTGTGTGTGAGGGTGCTGTTTGTGTGATATGTGTGGGTGTCATGTATTTGTGAGGGTGCTGTTTGTGTGTGTGTTTGTGAGGGTGTGGTTAGTGTACTGTGTGTGTGAGCGTGCTGTGTGTGAGTGTGCTCTGTGTGTGAGGGTGCTGTATGTGTACTGTATGTGTGTGGGTGCAGTTTGTGTGCTGTGTGTGTGAGGGTGCTGTGTGTGTGTGTGTGTGTGTGTAGGTGCTGTGTGTGTGGGTGCTGTATGTGTGTGGGTGCTGTATGTTTGGAGGGATTGTGGAGGTGGGGGCAGATTAGTAAATATCCCCCCTCCCTTCTTACCTTACGTAGGGAGGGGGGGATCCTTGCTGCCATGTGCCATCCCTGGTGGTCCAGTGGACAGTGAACTCTAGCCTGCGGGGCTAGAATTAACTCTCGCGAGATCTGAGCGTTGCCACGGCGAGAGGAACCTGGCGCTGTCTAGAGCTCCCGGGTCCTCTCCTGCCTCCCTCGATTCTGCTGTGGGCCGATGAGGTAGATCTTTGATCTCCCCGCCGGCCCATGGAGGCTTAGAGCAGAGCCAGCACTGAGATAGCGCCGGCTCGGCATGAGCCGACAGGGGAGATCCGGAGATCTCCCCTGTGGCAGGTTACAAGTCCTGGGGAATAAAGTGTGAGAACTTTACCAAGATTCCCACCCCCCAAAAAAAAATAATATACACTTGTGTGTGTGTGTGTGTGTGTGTGTGTGTGTGTATGTATATATATATATATATATATATATATATATATATATACGCGTGCACACACACACTGACACACATACTCAGACACACACACATACACTTACAGACACACACACATTCACAGTCACTCACAGACACACACTTATACATTCACAGACACACATACACACACATACAGACACACACCCATTCACAGTCACTCACAGACACACACTTATACATTCACAGACACACATACACACACATACAGACACACACACATACACACATACACTTACAGACACACACACTCACAGACACACACACACTCACAGACACACACACACTTACAGACACACACACATACATTCAGACACACACACATACACTGACACTCAGACACACACACATACTCAGACACACACACACTCACAAATTATTATTTTTTAATTAAAAAATTTCCACCCAGCCTCCCTACCTGGAGAGCTAGTGTGGACATGTTCCTGGGGTCCAGTGGGTCAGGTGCCTGTCTCCATATCAGACGCGGCAAGGGAGCTGTGTGCTCTCTGCTCCCTCTCGCCGCGCGGGCTGTCTACAGTAGCTGAGAGCCGGAATATGACGCCATATTTTCCGTCTCCCGGCATCAGCAAATGGCGTGCGGCACGAGGGAGCAGAGAGCACACAGCTCCCTCGCCACGTCTGATATGGAGACAGGTGCCCGACGGGGGGGTGTCCATCACCTCTTGCCCCCCCCCCATGACAGGGGGAACACGGGGGGAGGAAGGGGGGCATTTGGGGGGCTGAGTGCCTGCAGAAACGGAGTTCCTGCAAAAAATGAAAAAAACCTCACTTAACCCTAAATGTCCCGTGTGCCTAAGCTTAGTGAATGCACTAACTATAATGAAAGTGTAAAACTAGTTTTACTTACCTTCCAGGACCTTGCTGTGGAGGAGTAGCAGGAGTGCTAGCACGCATGTGCAGCACAGGATCCAGCTGATTCCCCTCACCGGAAGTGACGAGGGTAGAGGATTTTCACGGGTAGGGAAATTTCAGACCCTTGAAAGTACCTGCTCTGCTCCAATTTAAAAAGGAACACTTAGGTCACCATTACCTTTTCTAAATAAAGTTGTTATGGTGTTAGGAGGCCCTGGAGCATTATCTTACCTTAAGGGTTTAAACCGTTCTCGAACTGTTTAACCCCAAAAGCTGCCTCCAGCGCCGCATATCCAGGTCCCCTAGCAACATCTGGCTTCTGAAACTGATGGCGCCGCTGTAGGTCAATCAATAGCTCCCTATTATTATTATTATTTTATTATTTATATAGCGCCAGAAAATTCCATAGCACTGTACAATGGGTGGACTAACAGACATGTAATTGTAACCAGACAAATGGACGCACAGGAAGGGGTTGAGGGCCCTGCTCAATGAGCTTACATGCTGTGAGGGAGTGGGTTATAGTGACACAAAGGGTATAAGTAGGGGTAATGAAATGGTTTAATAGAAAAGTAGTCACTGAAAACCTATATTTGCAGGAGAGGAGTCATGTGGGGGGGGGGCACATTTTCTATGAAGTTGTTATGGTGATCAGAATGTTTCTTTAAGAACACGGCTTGGCTAGTGGCGATAGGTACAACTCTCCAACCGGACTGCTTAGCAATTGCGAGCCCCAGAGCAAAGCTGGGAGTACCGGGTGTACGCTTTGCATGCCACTCATTGCATATGATGATAAACTGTTAAAATGCTGCAAATCACAGCATCCTATCTAATGCATCTACTGTCTCATACTAAGTATTTTACTATACAGAATTGAGTGGAATACTGCTCATGGGCTGTGATAAAACCTACATTGTAGGCTCTCATCTACTCCTTTTAGTCATCTATTCGTTTGATTGATTTTCTTATATTTCAGTGGTGCTGTGTCGCAGAGTGCGTTGGTGCTCTTTTAATACATTAATAGTAATTAAAATCATCTTCATAATAATGACAAAAGTATCCCAGTGCAATAAACGTGTTAATAGTCTGGTAAATTAAAGAAGAGACAAGTGAAATCACGACTAACAATAGTATAACACAGCTAATCTGACCACTGCTGTATGCTTCACCCTAAAATGGTTTATTCGGGACGTGGAGGAACTTACTAAATAAAAGGAATTTTATACACGGTATTCAATAACACAGACTGATATAAAATATAGTGGCATATTTCACTCTGGATATCATTTCTATATCATGTCGTGGAAGGAGACTGCATTCATGTCGTTTCGGGCCTACACTCACGTTTCCATGCCTGTTTAATTTCAGCTCATACGGAGTAGGGCTAATAGAGAGCAGAAATAATCAGATCCCTCTAGAGTACATTCTGAATCTAAGCTTCGTTCCTCCATCCCCCTCCCTGAGGCCCTGAAAAATAGCAATGAAAGTCCCAACAGGATTGCTTCATAAATGTCTTAACTGGGCAGCCTTGGGATCCCTCACGGAGCTTTCTCCTACTGCCAAATTACTTTCCCTTTCTCTCGGCGGCTTTAAAAAGGCTTATTAAAAATGATTCTATAATAAAGCTGTGAGTTCTCCCTTGGTTGTCCTTGAGAAGGAAGTGTGGAATCTTAGAGTCGGCTCTTCCAATTTAAGGGCATTGTTAATTCTTCAGGCAACACAGAGGTTAAATCGAAATAGTATTTGCTTTTCGTAATTGGGAAGGCCTCATCTCTAGTGTACTGTTGAGTTGCGTAGACCAGGTAAATTAAAGCGTATGCAAAGATCCTGTAATGTCTGCACCCTAGGAGAGACCAAAGTGTACCACGAATGCTCAGCAATGGGTAGACGTTTGAAAAATGTCATCACATGCGGTGCTAAAGAAAGAAGTTATTACGGAGTGACAAAAGGCATGCGTTTAAACAAACTTTCAAAAACTGAGGTGGATTTAAGGGACAGTTTTTAAAAAGCACAAATCTTCTGATGTTCAATTTACAGACTCCATTTTTGGCACAAATTTTCCTGCATTGCTATTAAACAAATTTTAAGCATGTATGATTAAAAAAAAAAAAAAAAAACCTTAATGTATTATTGCAACATGCAAATGCATTTATTGTCATATGTATTTTTACCTTTCGGTCCCATAGAGATTTTTTTTGTTTTTGGTTAAGACTGATCTTCCTCCCAATTTTGTTAGATATTTACATAAAGCCACAAAAGCACAGTTCTGGTCCCAGTGACATGCTCACAAGGTCCCATTTCCAGACCTCTGTGCCCACGTTTTCGTTTAGTGTGTGTACCATGTGACACAATAAAATACAGATAACTGTTAGAGCCTGTTATTAAAGCCTATTGGTTGTGTAAAGAATTCTGATTGAGAGGGTAGGGAAAGGGTTAAGTAGCAGAGTAAATGTTCTAATCCAGGCTTCCCCAAACTCCAGCCCTCCAGATGTTGCTGAACTACAACTCTCATGATTCTATGAATGAAATAGATAGGCTGAGAATCATGGGAGTTGTAGTTCAGCAACATCTGGAGGGCCGGAGTTTGGGGAAGCCTGTATCTAATCAGTATACAATTTAATTTGTGCGTAAGGAATCAGCCAGCCAGTCAAACATGATGGGTTATTTTATTGATAGGCTTTGTTCAGAGTCACTTACATCTAACAGGACTGTTCACTAAAGTGAAAATTTAAAGTGAATTTCAAATTTAACGCCAGAGTAGCCAAACTGAATGCATAGCTGATTTAGAGAATTTTTCCACTTCGGCTACTTTTACCTTGAAAGTTGAATTTCACTTTGAATTCTCAATACTAAACAGCCCTGTAAATATAAGCTGTATAGATGTTTTGTTTCCCATATATATAGGTCTCCTTACTGTGGTTTATAACTGAACTGTTAATTTCTACATCCAGATTACACAACCGAGGCCTTGTTTACCTTTCGGTTGCACCACCATTGTGGTGAGCAGGTGACATGGTTTAGGATCCTGTTAGCGGCCACTTCCTTTAATTCTTCTGCTGCCCATGAAGCCTGGTTTAAATGTCATAACTGTGTTCGAGATCGCAGGTCTTTCAGATGGGCTTAGTGATTAAACACTTTCCAAGTGTGGTCTAGATAAGGTGTGAGCTCCTGTATCTGATATGCTTTCACTATTTCCACTGGTGAATGTTTTTCGAGAGATAATGTTGCAGTTACGTTTGGTCACTCTCGTTCGTTTAAGATTTGCTCTATTTATCACCGGTAACGTTTATCTCAAGATCTGCTACACTGAGGCTATAATACTAATATTATAGAGGCCATTTCGATACATACTATTTCCAATACATACTATTAAAAGCACACAATAGCATTAGGAATACAAACCTTCATGTCCTGTATATAACTAGGGACAGTGCTCTTGTGACCAGATGACCAGATCCACCATGTTTTCTCGGACACATATCATATATACATATTGATCGGCAGCACATGAAAAGGGTAGCCTAATAGTATGTAGAATTCAGAAGACGGTGTATAAGATTAAACAATGAAGAATCCTGCAGGGCAAACAGTTTTATGCATTTTAATAAATATGACAAAATGATATGTGTGCCTGTAAACATGGTGGATCTGGTCACTCTGACACTGGACCACTTTCACTACTCACCTGCTTCTTTCACAAAGACTCAATGTAACTTATGTATTACCTGTAAAAGTTCTAACTATTTAACCCCTCAAGTGGGGGATAATCAGGCTGCGTGACATTGAGTTTTGGCTATTTTGGGGGGTGAGGGGGAAGGGTAGAGGGGCGGAGTATTACAGATGGTTACTCTGACCAAAAACCAGTGTTTTTTGTGTGGATTAACCTTTTAAAGACTATTTGCATTGTTTTACTATCTACATTTTAAATGAGTACGCCAAGCACCATATCCACTTCTGGTCATTTTAGTTTAACATTAAATGACCTAAGGCAGGCTACAGCAGTGGTTATGGAACTTGTAGTTTTTCTTAAACAGTAGAAAATATATATATATATTTACATTAAGATATGAATTCCAATATTCAATGATTCAGGGCAATCAAAATAGATTACAGCCTCTGATGTCACGTACATGGACGATGCATTGCATAATTGCCATAAAAGGAAAACCAGATAGGTATAATCCCTCAAT